ATTGCGCCTAAACCATCACATACACTTACAAAATAATGGTTCGCTCACGCCCGTCAGTTCACTTTTATTTTATTGAGCCCCGCTGGACAATAACATTTATAAGTGCACACATATGTATGTAGGTGTGCGGGCGTATGTGTGTGTTATCAGCATGTAGACAGACACATGATTGCAAAATTAAATGCTGTAGTGGACTCTCAATATAAACAGTGCGGTAATTAATCAGTTAATTAACAGCAATGCTTCATTTAATATTGAACATTCATTGACCGATCCGGTAGTAGTCGTTGTTGCCTGGTAATAATACACAATTATAGGTGAAGTTGCAAACACACAGACATACGTAAATACAGATGCATTACGAATACTACATATGACGTATACGTGCATATGTTATAGAGAGGCGTAGTAGGAACAAAAAACATAAGGGGATTAAAAGTTTTTGTAATAGGAAGAAAAGAGAAGAAAGATATGAAATTAAATGAGAGTAATAGTGAATCATTAGCTAATTATTTATGGATCCGTAGGAAGCTGTTTCAGGCAGAAATTTATAAACTATTTTTCCAACTACTTCTGCATCTTAAATTGTATCCCCTATTGTAAAAACTTCCAACCTACGCCTCTGTTGATTTTGTCTAAGGCCATTGGCGATGACGTTAGTATGTGTAATGGCGGTTACGCGCGAGCAAACAACATTTATAAATAGGTTTACTTTTGTAATGGGTGTCTGTTTGAATGAATGAACAAACAACAGATTGCTGGTCGACTCGTCGTCTGTCTGGTTGGTTGGTCGGCATACGTCTCGCTTGCTAACTAAAACAACCTGCAGTCAATTTTTATTTCCGGTATACATACAACACCGCCAACACACATCCACGGAAGTCATTGTTTTTCTATTTGTATGTAGATGCTTACTGGTAGCAGGTCCCTTCCGAACCTGAACTTTTTTGTTTGAGGTGTTTTTCTGTTTGATTGTCTGCTAAGTTGTTTTTTGTTTGAATGAAGGGGAGGGGAGTGGAGTTGAAACGGATTTCATGCTTGTGTACCCATGTAAAGAAAAATGATTTAGTCGAATGACAAAGGATATGGTGGCACATGCATGCATACAAATGGTATATAAAGTATAAGATAAACACACCAGAAAGGGTATTAATTGAAAATCTAATCAAGCTTTTAACATAAATTTTGCATGTGGTAATTTCAATGATTTCAATTTGGTGGGAAGATTTCTTTGGAGAAAAATTGAAAAAATTAAAAAAAATTGAAAAATTAATTAATTTAATTAAATTAAATAAAATTAAAAAGTGTCAACCAAAAATATGGAATCTATACAAAAATTTGGTTCAAAGATTCCCAGCAGTGAAATCACTTCTCCGAACTATAATCTTGTTTATAGTAAAATAGTTTTTACGACTGATCTTTAAAGTCCTTAAAGATGCTCCATTATTTTTCTTATCCTCTTTTCCTTACCTTTCGGCTAAGTCTTAATGAAATTATCTCCAAGTAAATCCCATCAAAAAATCAAGTTGTTCCACCTAACTCCTTGTTATACTTAAATCGTAATTTCCATCTCCTCTCGCACAGTTAACAAGGACAATTAAGTAAAAGTTTACTTGTTAACAAATTAACTACACAACAAAACAATTTAGTAACCCTTGGGCAGGGTTAAAAAATTTCCGCCAAGTAGCAAACATAAAATACAAGGAATTCAAAAATCTTAACCCCATCTCGAAGTGAAAACCAACCAAACAATTAAAACGTTTTAAAACCTTTTCGGCATGGTTTGGAATAGCTTTTTTTAAAAGGGTGTATAACTGGGATACTGTTTGGGTGGATTGTTATGTTCTTTAAAATGACATTAAGTAGCGTTCAAAATGAACTCAAGCATTGCCAACAACAACAACTACAACAAAAAAACACGTTTAACAACAACAGCGACAATTTCTCATTGTTAAGGATATTAGTTGCATATAAATTGGAATCAAATTTTTTGGCTGCCGGAGTTTCTTTAAATAATTCCAAAGGGTTGAAATCCAAGCGAGTGAGCTGTCAAACCCTTATCAAAAGAAACGTGGGCTATCCTTTCAAGTGTGTATGGAGGGTTTTCATAGAATAAATGTGTAAATTCCGAACATTTGTAAATGTCGCCAAGATGTGAAAAAGTACAGAGTTGTAAAATCAAGGTATTAACCAGAAAAGACTTAATCAAGAATAAAGTTTTCTTGGGGAGAGATTTTCTTTACCCTCCTGGATTTTAAGAATGAGAGTATTTGGAATGATGTAGCAAGAAAATTAGGTGGCTATGGCGAATTTTACGCATTTGTAATCTCTTTCCCCTTAAAAAATTATTTCTTCAAAAATTCCTTATAAATCTACGTCTGGGTCCCCAATGTCCCCTTAAAAATAGTCCCTAAGAATAAAATCCGTTCCTGGGCCTTCTTTGTCCCTCAAAAAAATGGTGACTCCGTAAGCCAGAGCATTAAAAACACCAACATTTGTCTGGACTCTCAAAAAATATTTTTTAAAAAATCAATGCCTGGGCTTTGATAGCCCTTTAACGAAAATTCCTTCAAAATTTTAAAATCAGGCTTTGATAGTCCTTTAACAAAAATTTCTTCAAAAATTAAAACCTGGGCTTTAACGAAAATTCCTTCAAAATTTTAAAATTGGGCTTTGATAGTCCTTTTACAAAAATTCCTTCAAAAATTAAAACCTGGGCCAAAGCCCCCTTAAAAAATCCATACCAAGGCCTTTATAGACCTTTTAAAATTATTTCTTAAAAAATTCTCGCCAAAGCCTCTTAAAAAAATCCACGCCAGGGCCTTTATAGACTTTTTAAAATTATTTCTTATTATCATCGCCGAAGCGAGTCCACGCCTGGCATTTGATAATCCTTTGAAAATAGTCAGATAACAAAAATTCCTTAAAAATCCACCCCTGGGCTTTGATAGTCCTTTGAAAATAGTCTGTTAACAAAAATTCCTTAAAAATCCACGCCTGGGCTTTGATAGTCCTTTGAAAATAGTCAGTTAACGAAAATTCCTCAAAAATCCACTACAGGGGTTTGATAGTCTTTTGTAAAGAGTCCTTTAAGAAAAATTCCTTAAAAAATCCACGCCTGGGGTTTGATAGTCTTTTGAAAATAAATTCCTTAAAAGATCCACGTCTGAGCTCTGATAGTCCGTTAAAAATAAATTTCTTGAAAAATCGACGCCTGAGCTCTGATTGTCCTTTGAAAATAAATTTCTTAAAAAATCCACGCCTGGGTTTGATAGTCCTCTTAAAATAAATTCCTTAAAAAATCCTTGCCTGGTCATTGATAGTCCTTTGAAAATAAATTCCTTAAAAATCCATGCCTTTGCTTTGATAGTTCTTTGTAAATAGTCCTTTAACAAAAAATCCGTCAAAAATCCACGCCTGTGCTTTGGTAGTCCTTTGCAAGTAGTCCTTTACAAAAATTCCTTAAAAAATGCACGCCTAGTCATTGATAGTCCTTTGAAAATAAATTCCTTAAAAGATCCACGCCTGAGCTCTGATAGTCCGTTAAAAATAAATTTCTTAAAAAATCGACGCCTGAGCTCTGATTGTCCTTTGAAAATAAATTTCTTAAAAAATCCACACCTGGGTTTGATAGTCCTCTTAAAATAAATTCCTTAAAAATCCTTGCCTGGTCATTGATAGTCCTTTGAAACTAAATTCCTTAAAAATCCATGCATGTGCTTTGATAGTTCTTTGTAAATAGTCCTTTAACAAAAAATCCGTCAAAAATCCACGCCTGTGCTTTGGTAGTCCTTTGCAAGTAGTCCTTTACAAAAATTCCTTAAAAAATCCACGCCTGTATTGATCTTGAAAAAACATTGTTTAAAATATTTTCGTCTGTGTTGGTCCTTGAAATAAGTATTGTTTAAAAAATCCACATCTGCATTGGTACTTGAAAAATACTTTTAACGAAATCATCGACTGTGTTGGTCCTTAAAAAATATTTTTTGGGGCTTGAAAATATTCTTTAAAAAGTCGACGCCTGTTTTTGTCCTTAAAACCCTATTGTTAAAAAAACCACACCTGTGTTGGTTCTTGACCAGTTTATAGTGCAAATGGTCTTTGAAAGATTTTGTTTAAAAATCCTTAAGAGAATCCTGAAACTGATACTGCAGACATCAATTCCTTCTAAGGCCCTGACATTTTTGTTAAATATTTCCCTATCATTTTAATAACCCTCTGCCGAATTTTGTATCCTGCCATCATCGTGTGACCATTATGACATAAATTGTTGTAACATGACAAATAATTGGTTGTCACAGATTCGCAAAAACCATTGCCTCGCAAATATCTAACGATGTGTGTATGTGGCAAACAACTGTGACAACATCGGCAGCAACAAAAACAACAACAACGGCATCACAGCCATAATCTATTTTAATTGAATTGAATGGGTAACAACATGATGTGTGGGTTGTTACACCCCCTCAAAAACAGGGCCCATCACAGATTTATTTCCAATTAATTTTGTCATTTTTGTTGTTGGTTTTTTGCCTTTTTCCTCTATTCTGGTAAGGTGCGGGGTGGGGGTTAAGAATCAACAAATATTGATTGCATTTTTGTGGAGGGTGTTACTTTTTTTTGAGATGGCAAAAAAACAATCACATCAAAGACTGGCTTGGCTATTATGTTGGCAGATTCTGATGATGGTGACGATTGTGGGGAGAGAAAAAAGTGAAAGTGATTGATTTCAATTTATATTTTGAATGACAATTTTTTTTTCGTTTTGATTCCAATGGTGGTGGTCAGTGGTCATCAGTGGCCATTTGGTCATCATCAGTATCACAACAACTCAGGCATTTAACATATCGTGGGGATGATATGCTGGATCATTTGCCTTAAATGATTGATGATAATTTCTTGTGTACTATTATATTTAGTTTTATATTATCAATAATTGCTAATTTATTACGAATTTATTTTCTATTTTATCTAATAATTGTTTTTGTTTTGTCTTTTAGCCCAAGACCTTAATGACATGGACCAAGATGACATGTGCGACGATGGCATGAGTGATATTGATGATCATGCAAGTGAGACGGATTCAAAAAAGGGTGATGGCCGTTCCGGTGATGGTAAATCGAATAGCAGTAGTGGTGGTTCAAAGCCCAGGCGAGCCCGTACGGCATTCACCTATGAACAGTTGGTGTCCTTGGAGAATAAATTCAAAACGACCCGGTATCTAAGTGTTTGCGAACGATTGAATTTGGCATTGAGTTTGTCGCTGACTGAGACGCAGGTAAATGTTGGAAAATTTAAATCAATTTTAAAAATAAAAAACGAAACTCTACACAGGACATTATAAAAAAGACTTGCAAAATATCCTTTAACAATTCAAGGTTTCTTATAGGCCTTAAAAAATATGTTTTAAAAAAAGAAGGCTTCCTATAGACCCAAAAAAAGAAATATTCTTTAAAAAATCCTCGCCTGTTATAGGCATAGAAAAAATTCTTTAACAAATCTACGCCTCTTATAGGCCTTGGAAAATATTCTTTAAAAAATCCTCGCCTCTTATAGGCCTAGAAAAATTCTTTAAAAAATCTACGACTCTTATAGACCTTAAAAATATTCTTTAAAAATACACGCCTGTTTCCCGAATTATTTTTTTTTTTTTTTTGTTTTAATTAAATAATTTTTTATTTTTACTAATTTCCAATTTATTTCTTCTATCTCATTTTAGGTGAAAATCTGGTTTCAAAACCGTCGCACCAAATGGAAGAAACAAAATCCTGGTATGGATGTCAACAGCCCCACAATTCCACCACCTACCGGTTCATTTGGTCCTGGTGCTTATGCCAGTAGTCTTCTCTACTCACACACTATGCCCTATTCACCCTATGGCCCATATTTCCATCCCTTGGGTGCGGCACATCATCTAAGTCATTCGCATTCATAAAATTGTAAGATGCAACATAAATTGTTGCAAATAATGGAAATGCGTAAATATCAAGGACTAAGGAAGGAGTAGATAAGAAAAGATATGCATTAAAAAATCTTTTCAAAAATCCTCGAAAGCCGAAGAAAAAAACAAATGTGATGATAATTGTATTAAAATGAAAAGAAGAGAAAGAAAAAATTATAACCAAAAATTAATTTAAAATCTCTAACAACAAAGAAGACAAAAAACCAAAAAAGGGTCAGTGCAATTTATTTTTTGTTTTGTTAATTCCAAAAAAAAATTAAAATTTGAAAAATAATATCTGCCTCCACCCCCTTCTCACTGTACAGTTTAATGTTCTGTCAATTACCACAAAGAGTTCTACAGAAACCGAAATCTACTTAAAATGTCAATGTAAATAAAACCACCCAAACTACCTTTTCACTCATAATCATCATTATTACCTATTTAAAAATTATTATTTATTCAAAATTGTTGTAAATTATTTAATATTGTATTTAATTCTGCCAAGACATCATCGTTTCATAATTAGAATTTTAATTTCCTTGGAGAAAAGCAAGTGAAAATTGTACATGTTTGCCATTATTATTATTACTATTATTATGGGTATTGCCATTGTATTATTACGGATTAGTTTGTAAATTAGCATTAACCAAAAACATTCAAAGCCAAAGAAAATCAAAAATAATTAATTTAATTTAATAATAAAATAAACTAAAGAATAATAAATACATTTTAAGCATTATTGACAAAAATAATTAAATTGTTTGTTTCTCTGGGGAGATTGCTGGGACCAGAGGTGTTGCAGCAAATGTGGACAATGACAAATAATTTTAAAAGTCTTCACCAAGAAAAATATTAAGTGGACATATTTGTGTACCCTAGCCAGCTATGCTGTTGGGGTTCCGGTTCTGACCAAAGACGAATTTTACAGTTTTTTAATGATCGTGTATATTGAAGGGATGAACTGTTCCTTGAAACGACATTTTTGTCTGTTTTTCTGATCGCCACAATAATGAAAGGAACGACATCGCCTCTGGCTCTTTTCACGATAATCGGTATACATTTTGAGGGGTAAAATGCGCACAGATTTGTGTGCATTTTCTATTTCGTAGATTGACATAGACCGCAGAAGTTGGCGGTATATTAAATATGAGTTCTGTAAATTGATACTAATTATATTGACGTATGTACTCGGATAGGACAGTTATACTAAATATTGGCAGAGGTCTACATATTCTGATACATTTTTTAAAATTCTCATTACTACACTAGAGGGCGCAAAAGGGCTGTGAATTTTTGACCAAATTGACTAAAAATTTATGTTGGTCTATTTTTTCCAATAATGATGAGATGCAATGCGAATTTGCATCTCAATCGAAAGAAGTTCAATTTCAAGTGCAGAATTTGCATGGAAGCGAACGAAAATTTATCTGGGAGCACTCAACTTTGAGTGCGTGTTATTTCGATTGTGTTTACAATAATTAATTAGTGTAAAATTGAAAATATGGATTTTTTTTTTATATTTGCGACACTATACTTGAAAATAACACTTTAGAAGTAATTCGATGTATTGATTTTCAATAAGTTTTTGAAAAAATGACCCAATATGACCTCTTTGAACTTTTGCACATAAATTAAGTGATAACTTATGACTTATTTTCAATTTATTTCAAGTTGCGATTTTTTGCGTTTTGCAAGTAATGTCCCTTTTTCTATGCAACCACCGTATATCGATCTTTTTGAAATATGGCGAAAAGAAGGTAACAAAAAGAAAAAAGCTGATGCTGTTTTCAAACATGAAGTGAGCAAAATTGATGTCGGCAACATTTCGGATGGAAGAGAGAAATATTTAAAGCAAACAGTTCATTTATTTTGCTTAAAATTAGCCCAAAGTTGGGAATGGCTATATTCGGATTTAAATTTGTTGCTTATAAATTGTTCAGAAAATGTGGCAACTAACAAAAACTTTGAATTTGGTAAAAGAAAAGATGCTGCTGACATTTCAACTGAGAAACGTAACACCCCAAGAACCCCAAAAGTCTATTCCACTTTCTATGGATGAAGCGGTATAATGCAAACGAGTGGTGAAGGGCGGTATAATGCAAAGAGACATTTCTGATTTTCGTTATGATCGGAACATATATATGGATGTTATACCTAAATCTGTTCCGGTCTGAACCCAATTTTTCTGAGTTGTTTTTAGCCTATAAAAACATGCAAACTAAATTTTACGATGATCGGATGTATTTTGTGGGTTTGGAGGACTTAGACATGAAATCGGATAGAACATATATATTGGAGCTATATTTTAATCTGAACTGCTTTGAACCAAATTCGACACACTTATTTGCAGACTCAAAAAAAAACGTACAAACCAAATTTCATCACAATCCATTGTAAATCGGATGAAAATATATATGGGAGCTATATCCATCTGAACTGAAATCCGAACCGATTTCTTCCAAATTCAACATTAACAAGTCTAGTAACAAAAAAATCAGTTGGCCCAAATTTTATGATTTTTTTGCCGCTATGAATTTTGCACAGAAAAAGTGGTCATTTGATCTATAGTGCAGTGATCCGCAAACATTAGGAACGGCTGTTCAATATTAGAAAGGTATAGGTTAAACAGTTCCGAAGAAATCAGCCCACTATGTGGAACTTCCAGTTTCATTTTTCGACCTGCTTCTGACGAACATTTTGGTGGTATGGAAGGCCTTTCGGTCGCATGGTCCGTTATGGTTCAGTCCTCTACTAATAAGATGCCCGGGAATGCTGTTTTAGTACACCTTGTTTGTCCTGGCCAGGCTTCAGTAGCGGTACGGATATGAATACTTTCTAGGCTTCAGGAATTGTGTGGGTGGGTAACGGCAAATTAAGTGCTCATTTTAAGAACTTGACTTCGTGAAACTTTTTGAATTGCGATGGCTGGGAGGATGTAGCACACTCCATCTTCGTAGTAGTGTATGAAAGGAACTTAACCGTTGACTACAACGTACTTGTTCTGACTATTTTTACTGTTTAGATATTAGTGTCTTGAGTTCAAGTCTAACCAACATTGGGTCTTCATGTGTCGTATGATGAAGATCGTCACGTTCACTGTTTACTACCGTCACCTCTTCTAGGAACTTTGGTCTTACATTGGATATTCGTCCAGCAGGAAACCCCTCTGAAATTGTACTAATCAGAATTCGATGGCGGGCATGATAACTCCTCACTGGAACATCGGAATCCGGAAATTCCAACGGTATTAAAAAGAGTACCTATCAGGCTGTCGTATGACCTAGGATTATTGACATCGCTACAAAATTAGCAAAATGGCGTAGCTTACCAAATATGTTTTTTTTTTTTTAATTCGCACATTTTTGACCACAAACTAAGTTACAAAATAAGAAGTTCTTTATCGATTAGTTCTATCTTAGTTCATACAATAGCTATACACTCCCAGAGAAACGTGTCAAAAATTGGAACCGATTGCATTATTAGTTTTTGAGTTATCGTGCCCGCCATTCGTAAAACCTTGCTTCGAGAAAAATGCGTTTAAAATTTGAGAATCAGTCTTGCCATCACTTGATGCTGACACTATAAATCGACTATATCTTCAAGATTTCTTCAGATTTTCACTTGAAATTGTGTAGATTCGAAACACAATTTTTGACACCGAGAATGGGGGGTCCCCTTAAGTGTGATTTAAAAATAAAAAAAAATACAAAAATAAATGTCTTCCTTATTATAATATAGTATACCACCTTCGAATAAGAAAATCTCTAGACATTCACATGTAAATTTTAATTGAAATCCTTATCAGACAGTTTTTTCGGTCTGACAGTTTCACACTCCTTGCCAAAAAAATCCCGTTCAACAACAAATGTTTCCAGCAGTCACATTTATAATTACGATTTGGTATCAAGTGAAATTATCTGTTTAATAAAAATGAGTAAATTGTTTGACAACAGAAAATAAGTCGAGTGGAAAATTTTAAAATTGCTCCTCTTCCACAGAAAAACAGAGACAAACACGCACATAGAGAAAAACACAATACAACGAAATCCGTACGCACGCACGGACATTCGGAACTTTGGCAGAAAAGGAAGCAGCAGACGAGACAAGTGTGCTAACGACGAGACGAGAAGAACATCCAATTATGTTAAAGTGAATAAATAAAATTCCATAAGCGGCTTATATGACACACCACCAAACAGGACTTGACCACAAACATCAACCAAAGGGGGAGGGTGGTGGTGGTAGAAAAAATGGAAATGAAAGTGGAAAATTGGTATGAGATTCATACCATGTGACATAAACAGGAGATGTGGAAGTGTTGTGTTGTGATATGCGTATACTGAATTATGGTAATCAAATAAAAATATAAAGTCCAAAGGAAGGATCTTCATGAGAAAGACACTTTTCTAATAGGTTTTAATATCTTTGGTGTATATTCCAAAACTGGGTACACTTTGGGTCTCTAGGACAAGAAACGGAACTGTAAACATTAAAAACATCGTTAAGTTCGACTGACCCGAACTTTTAATGTCCTTCACCATGAAGTACCTATTCAAAATACTAAAATCGGTCGGGACATTTATATAAGGCTTTTAAGATCCAAATACTCTGTCAGGGCTTTCAAATTCCAATTTGTCTGCCAGGAAAGTTTCTATATTTTTAAAAAACAAAATTACTGACACTCAGGTTAGAGAAACTAGAGCTAAGTCTTTTAGGATACCGAACATGGGTGATAGTTCCAAATTTGGACATATCTTGAAAATGTTGTACCAAGAAGCTTTGAACCCATATAAAAAACATCTTTTGCAAAATCGCTTAGGGTCATGTACTAGAGTAAAATGGAAGAGAAGAAGAAATGGAAGAAGTCAAAACATAGACCTTTATAGAAAATTTTCTTCACAGGTGTTTTTATCCTCCAAGAATTCGGTTGGTAATTCGGCTATGCCGAAACAGAGGAAATTTTTGTGCCAAGAAGTTCTGTACCCAAATAAATTTTGGAATGCCAAATTATCGTCCCTTCTGCTGAAAAAACTGCTTAGGGAACTTTATATGGGGCATATG